CTTGGCATTTCTTTGATTTAAGTAAAAACTGGTTTTCTTAGTAGTAACGAGTGAACTCACCATTGAAAGTAGTTAGGTTATGTAGGAAATTGTGTGATCAATGCAATGTGGGTGGGAAGGGAATGGAGGACAATTTTGGACACCGGAGGTGTGAGAGATGTGTGGGAAGGGACAGGGGGTCAGAAAGAGGGGTGGAAATAATTCTAGGAGTTTCAGGGAAAAAACAATATATCTATTCAATGACTGCAGTAGGATATGTAGCCCCAGCTAGGTGCTACTTTATAGGATGCGTAAAGTTAGACTTGTGCTCATGGAAATGTGTGTGTCACCTATGTTTGCTATGAGGGTATTTGGATTGACTAGGGTCTTTGGTGATTCAATAAAATGTGGGGGGGAAAATGATATAGAAAGCAAACATAGATACCAGAGACAGTGTGGGAAGAGAGCAGGAGGTGGCAGAGGGTAAGAGATAGGGAACCAAGGATGGGGAGAAAAAAGCAAAACATACAGAAAACAAGAAATGGACGATCATTTGCTGACAATAACATGTTTGTTGATGTGCTTGATTGAGACAAAATACAGTATACTCTGGATGGAAAATCTCATTTTGTATGCTGTAATGATATACAGTGAATGAATGCAAATAAATAAATTGGAAAAAAGAAAAAAAAAACCTAGAGGAAATAAACTATTCTCTAGACATATAAAATATACCTGGACCAGAATCAGCAGATAGCAAATATTTTTGTCACAGGACCTGCACATGGACAATCATGGTTCAAGTCCTTGAAACTCACAGCGGAGGGGTGTGTGTGTGTACAAAATCTCAACAATAAAGGAGAAGGGATTGTGGAGTGGTCATTACCCCTGGGCAGTTATTTGTCACTTTCTGTCTCTCTGTTTCTCCAGCATGCACATGCACCCTAAAGAAAAAAAATATTATACCTGGATCATATCATCAAATGGAAAGCCTAAATATACTAAAAAGGAAGCAATGAAATTCAGTAATAATCTCCCCAACAAAGAAAAGCCCAAGTCCTGATGGTTTAATTTCTAAATTCTACAAAAGCCTTTTCCCATTCTCAGTCTTTTTTTAAATTATTTCTTCCTTTTATTTATTTATTTGTTTGTTTGTTTGCTCATTTGTTTAGGCTATATGGTGTCTGTGCTTGCACAACATGGGGATGAAGGGCAGAAAAAGAGAGAAGGAGAGGAATGTGAGAAATTATTCTTCCTTTCTGCTCCATTTTTCTCTCAGGAGTTTGGACATGCACACACTCATCACCGGTGTGTCTTTAAAGTCACTGGGTCTAGGACTCATACTGCCAGGTTGGCTATGTAGTATTCAGTGGCTTTAACCACCACGTCACCTGGCTGGACTTCTACAAAACTTTTAAAGGAGAATTAACACCAGTTCTCATCAAACTATTCATAAATATCCAATGGAAAGGAAACCTCCAAAATTCATCTTTTGAAGCCACTTTCACCTTGATACCAAAAGCAAACACACGACAAAATATAAACTACAAACCAATATTCCTGATAAATATAGATGCAAAAATCCTCAGAAAAACATTTGCAAATGAAATTCAATAGAACATAAAACGTTTAATGTTTAATTAAAATTTAACAAAATAGAAATTATTTATAAAAATACCCCAGATACAGCATTGAAACCAGAATATACAGAGAACAAAAGCAGCACACTCACAAAAATACTAATGATACAACTTTACAATGGGCAGCTGGTCTGACCAGACAACTCTTGAAGACATGTGAATGGACACAAAGCATATGAAGAAATATATCACTTATAATAAGGAAAATGAAAATCCAAAGCATGCTGAAGTATACATAACTCAAGTCAGAATGGCTATGATCTAAAATACAAAGAACAAGTACTGGGGAGTTTATAATTAAAAGATGAGGAAATGAACTGAACAGACAACTGTTCAGGGAAGATACATGAATAGCCAAAAAGTATATGAAAATGTGCTCAAAATTTCTTAACATAAGAGAAATGAAAATCAATAACTCAATGAGATACCACTTAAACCGAGTCACAGTGGCTAAAATTTTTAAAATATACAAATAAATAATGATAAGTCCTGGTGAGGTGGTAGCGAAAAGGGAACTCTCCTACATTGTTGGAGGGAATTTAAATTAGCACAACCACTCTGGAGTTCAATATGGAGCAACTCTAGTGAAGCTGTAATAACTCAACAAACAAGATAGAGAGACATTTCCACATCCGTGTTTTGCAGGAGCCACAGTATTTAAGACAAGGAATCAACATAAGTGTTGAATAACTAAGGACCACATTAAAATAATGTGGTAGGAGGGCAGAAGGAAGTAAGGAGATGCAGGAGGTGCAGCTGAGGACCTTGTACACTTTCAAAATTAGCATTTCTCCCACTAAACCACCTGCAGTTTCACCAGGGTTGTTATCCCCTACCTTTGAACTTATCAGTCTTCGAAACTATCCTGATCATTATATAAGACAGAATATCCAGCATGTCAAGGGCCCAACATGACATGCGGCTAGAATAAGTGAAGCATGGGAACTGAGTATAGGAACTGATGATGCTGCCTAACACAGCTCTATTTGTACACCAGAAATCCAGAATGGAACTGTTTCAAAGAGAACCTGAGATTCAAAAGAAAAAGCTGTATAAACTAAAATCTAAGGTCAATAAAACCGAAAATAATCTAACACAAACAAAGGTACCTAAAAAGATTGAATTCCCTGTGCCAAATACCTTCACTAGAAGAAATGCAGTAGTTGAGAAGTTCTAATAGACAATTCCAGATTGACACTGACTGCTCAACCAAAGACACTATTCTTTTTTTTATATATATTTGGGAATATTTATTTTCTTTTATTTTAACAATGTACAAAATGTTTATTTCTCTTATGATAGGAAAAAAACAATCAAAATTTTTGAACTAGGGAATGATAAATGATAGTACTTCAACTTGAGGGAACGTTATGCACTATTCTTTTTCAAGACTGAGGATCACACTTTAATCACATTGCTATTGGTAATTTCTATTGGCAATATTTGATTTGTAGGTTGTATGCCACGAAAATCCAAATTTCAAAGGTACACCATTAAAACACCAAACTCAAGACACAAAAAATGACAAGTAGACTGTAATCGTACGCTGCTACCTTTTAGAATTACCCAGTCTTGGGACCAGCAGTTGGTGTAATGGCTATGATGCTGGACTCCCATGTAGCTGACCGCACTTTGAGTACCGGACCCAGTGGCTTAAACTCATGCAAGGCGCGTGTGCATGTGTGCCCAAGATCTCGAGAGGAGAATAGAGAAGGGATTGTGGCATGGCCATCCCCCCTGGGGGGTGATTTCTCACTGTCTCTGTCTCTCTCTGTCTTTCTGGTGACTGCACATGCCCTACAGCAAAAACCTCTGCAAAGAAAAAAAAGACTGATCCAGTCTTAATCTGCTATGAACAGTGTGAAATACCAAGGTATTCCTGAGCAAGAAAGCCCTATAAGTTCTCTAAAACCATATTTGAAGTTCAAGAAGCTAGTCTGTCTTTTGGGAACAGCTTCACAGCTACATAGGATTTTGTCAGACTGAAGATGTGACACAGCAGCGTTGTACTAAATTTAAATGTCAGTCCACAGAGCTAATAATACCTCAGTGTAATGTCCTTGGCAGGTGAAATTCATCCCAAGGGAAAGTGTAATAGCCTTTAATTAACTATTTTCCCTATAGTTGTTAAGCATGACTATGTCTTCTTTAAAGCCTTACCTGAGAGAAGCAATGCCTTAAAATAAAAAAAGCATTAATGACATCAAGCTATACACAAAATACCCTTACTCTGTACTTTACCTTCATGAGTGTCAATGATTTGTGAAGACATACAGATGCTACACAGTGAACTGCAGAGAAATATTACTAGAATCATGTTGGGGATATTCAGGACAACTGAAGGAAAGCTGGAGAAAAAGAAAAACAAGTAAACTTGAACACTGAAGCAACCTCAAACATCTCTTTATTTTGATTATATATTTTTGTAAGGAAAATAAATATTCAGATGATCAGGAATGTATATAACTAAATGAAATGATAAAAGGCATCCTAACAGCATACTTTTAAGAAGACAGAATTATAAAATCATATACCAGTGCTTAGATTGGAGTTAAGTAAAGTGCTGAAATACTGCAAAAGAGTAAAAGGCATCCTAACAGCATACTTTTAAGAAGACAGAATTATAAAATCATATACCAGTGCTTAGATTGGAGTTAAGTAAAGTGCTGAAATACTGCAAAAGAGAGGTGATAACGTGGACTGCCTCTCACTGTAAATATGTGTGGGTATGTTTCAAACAGGATTACTAACAAAAATTTAATCATTAATAAATCATCTTCCAACAAAGAAAAGTGCAGGTCCCAATGGTTTCACTTCTGAATTGTACAAAACTTTGAAAGAAGAGATAACTTCCATTCTACTCAAATAATTTCT